ATTTCACCTACATTTTACTTTCATGCATCTTAATCTTACATTCATGAATTATGTAAATTCTAGAACATGACCACCTAAATACAAATAATAATTTAGTTTAATAATTCAACAGAGCCGGCGGAACCAAGTCAACTCAGAGTGAATCCCACAGCCAAACAGGACCAACCCGAAACTGCCTAACACCAACTCGATGGCCTGACGAAGTCGAGTCCTAGCTCCAGAAGACCACCCAAAATCAGACTTGAACCATGACCCCCACACCAAGATGCTTCAAGACCCGCACATGGTCGGACCACTAACACCACTAGCGAATCCAACCATCCCGGTGAACCCCCAAAACACGGAGATGCCGAGGCTGCGGCTACATCCCCCGAGCCCGAAACCACCACAGTCCTCCACCCACCACTGCACCACCTCGGCCAACACCACTGGCCGGAAGACAGCGCACCGGTCCACCCCCGACCTATTGTCGGGGTAAGGGGAGAAAGCTGGAGATAAGCTGCGGAGCTTCGACCGTCCGACACCAACGACGTCGGACAACCGGGGCACCATCCACCCGACCGGCAACACCCAAACCATCACCATCGCCGCCCAGGAAGCCGAAAATGGAACTTGCGAGCCGGCAAAGAACCGACGCCATTCACAGAAGATGAAGCTTTCCTGTGCAATAGAGATGGAGAAGGTGTGTGAAGTTGGGCAGAGGCCAGGCGGCCGATGGACGACCACCGGCTCAAGCTCAATCGCCACCGAGGAAGGCCAACGAGCTGTAATTTGAGGGTAAACCGAGGGTAGGGTTTGAGAGGAAGAAAAGTGATCTCGTTAGCTGATTTCTTGTGGTGTATTCCTTTAATAAATGTCTTTTACACTTCAGAAATCTTGATTTATTTAATTTAGATTTTTAAATCTTTTGATAGGCTAGAGTTATTCATTTGAGATTACTTAAAAGTCTTACAAAATAATGAGGTATTTAACTGTTTTGATATTAGGATTTGTTAAATTGTAACACCCCGAGTTTTATTAATAAAGAAAAATACTAGCTTTTAATTTTAAGCTAGCCTTTGTTAATAAATAATCATGTTCATGTTCAAGTTCAAGTTATTCGGTTAGTTATATTCCAAGTCCGACTATTAGTCGATGAATTATTCGGTTAATTATTTCAGTAACCGAATAAGTTTCCAGATTTAATTCCGATTCGTTTCTTTAATTAAGGAGTTCGGAATTAATAAGTTAAGTTGACGAATTATTCGAAATATCAATATTCGGATTAATCGTCCAAGTCAGGAATATCCAAAATTATTTCGAAGTCACTTTTACGTTCGGAATAATTTTGGTAATTAATATCATGCTTAGTTAAATAATTAAGCACTTAATTGTGCTTAATTAATATTTATCATTTGTTAATATTTAAAATGTCGTATGCATTTTAAATGTAAAAATCAAGTGCAAATTGGAATCATTTTTATTAAAATGCCGTGAGCTTAGTGAGAATTTTTGAGGAAAATTGGTTTCCCTTTTAAGCATGAGGTGTCACACTTTTAATGTGCTAAGTGATGACTAATTTATTCATTTCATGACTAAGCCTCACTAATTACAAATGGCATGAGATTATGAAGCCACCAAGCTCTCCACCTCCCTATTTCTATTCGGTTTGTATAAATAGCAAGTGTTGGGAAGATTTTTTGCTCCTACACATATATGTATTAGTAAGGTGAGAGAGTTAGAAAGCTTCTTTTAGTTGAGAGAGTTGAGGGATTAATAGAGTACCGTATGCGAGAAGCATAGGCGCGAGCGTCGGTCGAGAACTACCGCACGCGCACGGTGGTGCGTCGTCCAAGCTACCTAGAGTTGTATTTTTGGCCGAGCGTTTGTCAAGGTAATCTTATATTGATCTTCTCTTTAAGTTAGCAAGATCATATTCAGTTTTAATTGTTCGGTCAAGCTCGTGAATTAGCCTTAAAGTTACTCTTAGCCGTGCGTGTAGATCATGTTGGACATGTTCATGTTTTGTCCGAAACTCTCGAACAGTTGTCATGTATTCAGTCATGTCATCCCATATTAGGTTCAGTTAGCTCATGTTGCTCGAAGAATTTTCATGTTTAATCGTTGAGTTGGCCAAAGGGGCGTGGTCGCGCACGTAGCGCGTACCACGGGCCGTGCATGCTTAGCGATCCAGTTAAGTTGTAGTCCTTCAAGCATTTCATGTTTATTTGTTCAGTAAATAGCATTTCATGTTCAGTTATGTGTTAGTTGCCGAGAGAAAGTCATGTTCGGTCGAGAAGCGGCTAAACGCCGTAGGCGGCGCACGGTGCGGACGCCACAACCATTTTAGCATGTTATGTAAAAATTCATGATTTTGAGTAAAGTCAGCAAATTTGATCATTTCAAGTCATTTCATGTTGTTTCATGTTGAGTTGGTCGAGAGACATTGCCGGACGGCCGATAAGGATCGACCGTGGACGCCACGCCCGTAGGCAACGGGTAGTGCACGCCGGCAGTCATGCGCGTTGTGCGGATGACGTGCAGTTGGGCGTAGCGCGTGTCCCCTGTACGCAGGCAGTCATCGGTTGGCAGCACGTAGTGCACGCCAGCAGTTCGCCGCGCACGCCAGCGCGCGCGTACATGCCTCAGTTGCCTGCTGTGGCACGCGGTAGCGCCCAGCAG